ACTAGCCTAGAAAATGAAACTATCTTTGTTCGTAATGAAAGTAGCAGAGGCATTTATAGTTGTGTTTGGCCTTCGAAATGGCCAGGTATGTTTATGAGTGTAAAGGCCCGGGCCCCGTCTTATTCAAGTTACACTAGTTCTTCACAAAGCTCAAACAAAGCCCAAGAACGGCATTAATAGAGTTAACGACACGAATCCTCCTCTCGACGTACATGCAAAGGGTTAAAATCTTTTGATGTTTATTAATATTTATTACATATCTATTTTTGATGTTAAATCATTAGTATTGCATATTTATTACAAATTATTTCCTTGTTGTCCTCCTCTGATGTGAAGAGCGATCACCATTTAGCCAAAATCGCTCTACAAGAATTGCATGCGAGAGTTGCAGGGACCACGTGGTGCAGCCCCAACAAAATGCTTCATAAATTTGGCCTGAAACAAGTCGCACCCCATGGAGTTCCAAAAAAGGAGAATGCTCATATTTTATGAGATTTTGCATGTGAAGTAGGGTTTTCGAAAAAGCATTTTAGGCAAAGGAGAGTGCGTTGAATGGAAGTATTTGCTTTACAAAAGCATAACTGGGGACAAGCCTTTGTTTATATAAAGAAAAGGACAATAGCCTATTGTTTAAAGTCCCCTTCGTAGTCTGTGAAAAATGGCCCTGAAATGTTGTCTTGTCGCATTACCTAAAAGCTGCGCAAGTAAACCAGAACAAATCACGTTTTTGCTGCAAGCTCTCGAAAAGATGTTTCTGTGTCTACTTGGTTAAAAACCTCCATTAAAACATTAGAGACATAATTTATCCATCTTTTTTACTTGTTTCGTCTTTTTTAGGAGAAACATTTGATCGTGGTGTGCCTACACTCTATGGCTTGCGCATTCCACAGTCATTGTTGAAGCAAATGCCTATTTGCAACCAAAGCTGTAGTGCTTTGCAGAGGTCCAGCCTTGTTAGCTTTTACGAAAGCACTTGCGGCCCTAAATGGGTTAAACGGAGGAACTGGAATACGGATGTTTTCTATTGCGACTGGGAGGGTATTTTATGTTACAACAGGACATTTCACATCATAGCCATCGATCTCCAAGGCAACAATGGAATGCAGGGCTTTGTCGGAACTACTCTAGGACGCCTTCCCTACCTCCTTGGTGTAGACATGGGTGGAAGCAGACTACAAGGTGACGTAAGAGACTTGCTTGGGACACTGAAGAGCTTCTTTATCAGATTTGATTTTGCAAATAACGATATACATGGTGAGTTCCCACAAAACATAGCTACAGCTTGGCCACATCTTGGCAAGATTCAGATCTCAGGAAATAAAGCAATATATGGAACAATACCAGAAAACATTTATTTGTTGAAAGACTTACAGGTTCTTAGCTTAGGGGAAACTGGAATTTCTGGGTGGGTTCCAAAAAGAATAGCCAATCTTTCAAATTTGTACTTTCTTGACCTGGAGGCTTTGTCGTTAAAAGGAGATCTTGGATGTTTAAAAGGGCTTTCGAAACTACGATTCATACATTTGATGTCGAATCAACTAGAAGGTGAGTTCCCTAAAGACTTTGGAAACTGGTTTTCAGACCTCTTTGAGCTTCTCCTTCAAGGCAATGATTTAAGTGGAGATCTGCCTTCGTCTCTGGGTAATTTTAGCGGGTTGTCTCTGCTTCAATTATCTGAAAACAAGCGACTTACTGGACGAATCCCACTTTCTTTTTCAAATCTGAAAAGTTTAGAAATATTCGACATATCGAATACGCAAATTGAAGGCTTTGAGAAAGGCCTCGTTCTTGGAAGTAAAAAATTGAGTTCATTTGTTGCAAAACGGAACAAAAAATTTTCAGAGTCTATTTACAGTCTTGTTGGTGCTCTTGGAAAGAGTGGCAAGTCCTTGAATCAGTTGGATGTACAAGATTGTGACATTTATGGCAGATTCGACAAAGTAAATGACGATTCTAACCTTAAGAGTGGTATATTCAGGTTCTCAAAGTTGGTTTTTTTGAATTTGGGTGGCAACAAGCATCTCAGCGGAAGCATTCCAGACCCAATCAGTAGTCTTGGCCTAATCGTTTTTTTCAACGCATCGTGCACAAACACGTCGGATGCATTACCTGTGTCATATTTAATCAAATTGAAATTATTGCAAGAAATAGACATCCGGAAGAACCCACTGATGAAAGGCGAAATTGAAGAAAAATACATGTTGGTTGATGATACAGAAATGATCGCAGAAAATGTCGAAGATAATATCAAATGCCCTGTGATACGACTGAAGCATAACAATTGTTTAGTCAGGATGGATTCTGCTTACTATGAAAGGAGATATTGCCAGTGTAATCCTGGTTTTTACGGTCACGGCGGCACTTGCCGGTCTTGCATGACTGGTGGCGTTTGTGATGGCCTCGTAAATAGGATGAGTATAGTCAGAAATGACTCTAGAGGCAAATATAGCAAAGACTTTACTGTCACTTCTATGAAACCGGCAAAAGGCTATTGGCCATTTCCTACAATGAAGAACGTGACCAAGCTGGTTAAGTGCCGTTGGACACTGCCTGGAAAGGAAGTCTGTAACCCCTCCGGACTGGTTCGTTGTTACGCCAAAAAAGTATCTGGACAGGTGATAACGGTTTGTGGGTCTGATGAGCATGTATGTGCTGAAGGCTCTTATGGACGTTTGTGCAGCCGTTGTAAGCAGGGCTATTACAGCACTGGACAGCATTGTCATAAATGCCTTGATAGTAAGGATAAGGAAAGCATTATAACAATTGTACTGGCTGCTGTTATGATCACTCTGCTAGGCCTAAGTATGTTGCTGCACGTCCGTAACCGGCGCATATTTGCTGCCCTGCTTGCAATATTTGAAGCTGTTGCCGTGTTGATTCTAGCAATTATGGGAATAATACCAAGTTGGCTAGCAGATATCAATATACTCATTTTTTTACTAGCCATTGGTGGCTTTGGTAAATTTGGCAAAGGTTTGTTGAAAACTGCAGTCTTTTACATGCAAATTATTGATGCTCTTGTGGCTTCGACTCATATTTGGCCAACAGCTGTTTATTTCTTTTCAGACTTCATAAGCAGTCTTGTAAACCTACGATTCTCTGTGCTAGGCTGTCGACTTCCCAAAATATTTACACCTCAAGGCAAACTTTTTCTTCTAATGTTGCTGCCACTCTGTTTATGCATGGTTCTAGCAACAGCATCTTTTCTTTTTCGCATGACGGCTCGACATAAGTTGCCTGATACGTACGAAAAGTTCAAATACAAGTGCGCCCATTTGTCGATTCTTTTCTTGAACTTATCCTACTTTCCTTTAGTAAAAGCCACCTTTTCAGTTTTGGTTCCTTGCAAACAAGTTGAAGGTATTTCGTACATGCCAAACTACGTTTGGATCGACTGCAACAGCAGTGAATACAAGCTGCTATACTTCGTAGCGCTGTTTTGTATTGTCTTGTATGTGATAGGAGTTCCTGTGCTGTTCCTTTCCTTGCTTCGATGGCAGAGAGAGCACATAGTTGAAGGGCACCTGACTACATCGAAATGGCTAGGCTCACTGTATATTCCATATAAACCTAACTATCGTGTGCTCATGGAGTTTTTCTTGATGCTGCGAAGAACGTTTCTTGCTTTTCTCATAACGTTCATTGATGAAAACGTCACAGTCAAAACAACATTGGTATCTGCGGTATTTTTTATATCTTTGATACTGGAGACACATGCAAAGCCGTTTCGTACAGCTGACGGTAACGATGGCTGCTGGGGTTTTGGGATGGAAAATATCATCGAGATAACAATGTTGTCTGTGTTGCTTTTTTCGTTTATAGCCGCGCAGACATCGATACAAACAAACAGTGAAGACCAAAACTTGCTCTGGAGCGTGATTATCATCAACGCCATTTTTTCCTTTGTTCTTATTATGTGTTTTTTGAAAAGATTAGGCCAGAGAGAAGGAGGCTACGAGCAGATAAACGAAGGAGAAAGAGCGAATGAAGGATTTAATCAAGCCGAACAAGCTCAGGTTATGCATGATTAACAACACTTCGTCGAAACATGGTTATTTTGTCAAGACATTGACCTTAAAAGACTTCTATTGACAGTCGCAAGGTAGTTATTCTTGGGATTTTGCTTTCTTAGATAGTCAATTTTTGAGTAAACCATTTAGTTCCATCTGAAAGACAATCGAAAATACTTACGTGGCTCAGGCAAACATAATAACACTCCGGAGGCATTTGTCCATAGTTGATTGATAAATGACGTAAGCCAATTTGAGGGTGTAGAAGGGGTTTTGACTAAGTGACCAACAGACTGTTTTACCAACCGACTAATGACTAATTATGTGTAAAGCCGAAAACACACTCCAGAAAATGATCCGCGGATCGGTCAGATTTTGTGTTGCGCAAGCGCTTTGGATGCAAAAATAGTCACATGACTGATCTGCGACGGATCTAGAAGTTGAAATCATTGCTAAACGTCCTGTGTCAGGCTGTTTTTTGTTGCAATTTGCTTAAGAACTCATAAGAATTTTGCTTTTTTAATATGAAACTATGAAACAATGTTAAAACCAACAGTTTTTTACTAAAAAGAGATTTTGACTAACTGGGGCCAAAAATCCTGACTAGTGACTAACCTTTATCACCTGACTAGCAGTATCCCCCCTTCTACACCCTCAAATTTAGATGATATGCCCGTAGCCAAATTGTTTGACAATGAATTGTTTATTTGGAAACAGCATTGTACAGGGGCTTCAGTTGAATATTTCGAAAACTAACCTTGGCAATAAAGTTCTCGAATACACAGGGGGGAGGGGGGGCATACCAACAACTTGAATCGTAGTATATGTTAGTATGTTTAGCACCAAATTATCGCGTTCAATTCCCACCTAAATATTCCACGAACAAAATTTTTAGGCACATCATGAGATCTGTACTCTTTTCATTGTAACCATGAATTAGAATTGTTTATTGAACAGTTATTAATGATAGGGTTCGTCAAAATGTTGCCTAAGAGCAAAATGTGCTTTTTAGAAATTCAGCAAAATGCATTGTCCACTAAAAGGTATGTGGTTCCTGTTGATCATCTCGTGATGTGCTTGAAAAAAATTAGCTTTTTAAGACAGTGCGAAGAAAGGGGCTGGGGGCTTTTTTAGACCCCCTACTTTTCTCAACCTTTCTAGACCCTCCCCAGGGGGCTGCCCATTAAAAACAGCGCTTTTAAGGGACGTCTATAATGAGGGACGCACAGACACAATCTTTATAAATTGTTATGAGTAATAAACGAAACCTTCGAGTTGAAGAGATGGCAAAAAAGGAAGAGTAGTTATCTTAACAAAACGATTGAAAAGAGTACATAACAATATCAGTTTCTATATGCATAATAGCGTAGAGATGTTTGATCTCTTGCAAATCTCTATCAAAGGGAGGGAGGCTAATCTCTATCAAATCTCTTGCAAATCTCTATCAGTGTACAATATTATATTTAACTAAAGAAGTACAAATAATTACAGCAAGTAAGCGATAAAAATATGACAAAAAGGTATTTTAAAAACCAATAACTTAAGAAATGTTTGATAATAAAATATAAAAACGGGCTTAAGGTTACCTAAAGGTTTCTTCAAAAGGCGAATATATTAACAAAAGCTAAAATTTTACAAGCATGAGTGATTTTGTTTAATAAGTTTTACAACTAAAGATGAACTAAACATTGTAATAAACTGGCCAAATTGGTGCCATCACAGTTCTTTCTGTTTATAATATACTGATCTTAGAAACAAAGTGTCTCAGAAGAGATATTAAAAATATATTAATCTATCTGTTACAAGAAATGGAAAAATGTTTTTGGCCTGACTTGCATTTTGCATTAGGTGCTACAAACTGTACCACTGAAAATCTATTTTTAATTTAATGTTTTCTATAATCTTGTTTAATTATTTACCGTAATCAAGCAACATTCTCAGTAACCTTATTTCTGCAAGTCTACAATCTTATTTCTGCAAGTATACAATTGTTAAGGAACATATAGAATGATTCAACTAAAAATTTGTAATTACTTTATTGGTCTTAACAAAACAAAGCTGGTATGCTGTAAGCAAACACATTGGTTCTACACAATGTTAGATACGGAATATTTTCACTTTTGTTTTTCTTGCTCCACTTTCTTTTATTTTCACTATTGTCTATTTCTGTTTTGTCATGCTTCTGTGTAGCTCTCTTCCAGTAAAGAAAACTCCGGTAAGCATTGATATTATGCTAAGGCCAATGATCAGCCGATTGAAAATATGGTGATACCATCGCAAACGAGATTTTTTCATTCTCAAATGAAAAATGCAAGGTATGGTTAATGACAGCAATGTGTTTATTGTATTGCCAATGAATGCCATCAGCAAAGCAAAATGAGGAACCAATATAGCCACTGTCAGTGATAGGGCAATTATCATGAAGCGGTTACAAACTGACAGCCAAATACTGTATCCATTTTCAGCCCTTTGAAAAAAAGGAAACATCTCTGCAATGGTACTGTCTATACTCTCCATGATGACAAATGTTGGTAACGAAAAAAGGCAAAGCACTGAAATGAAAATAAAGACAGCTGAGGCAATCCCTAGGCCAAAATGATACTGAAGGTCTACAGTTATGACTTCATCTGTTTTGGTCCCGTATAATAATGCATTTGTGAAGCCAACCAGCATCTTAGCAACCACTGCAGATGAAAAAGTAATAGCAAGCATTGGGCGGTATTGCTTTGGTTTGCTCATCTGCTGTTCTATTCCAGGCAAAGCAGAATGAATTCCAAACGAGCACACTATAATGCCAATTGATATTGGTAATTTCTCTAAATTGTAGATTGGAATGTCTCTGATACTCCAATATTTAAAGTTTGCCACACAATATCCTTCTACAAGAATGAGCCCAATAACCAATGATGCAACACCAACTAAATGCATCCAGGCTATTAAACCTAGTCTACTTATGAAGAATGTTGGAAGAGCAATGGTGACCCCAATAGCTGTACAAACCTCTATACTTAAGTGACTATGGAAAATTTCAAAACATAAAGCTCCAAGCACATTTATGTTTAAAATACAGACACATAGCATGTCAATAACTTGCAAGACATGGATGATTCTTCCTCCTGTATCAGAATTTGAATAATCTTGTCCAATCTCAATGTAGTCTAGGCGCACCCGTGTTTTATACCTTCTCCTTCGAACAGAATGCTCATACATGCAATCAATAAGCAATTTCCCAGTGTATCCACACATTATTGCTATAATTGGTATGAGTGCAACTGAGATAAGACCTCCTGATGCAATGCTGTATGGGATTGCAAGAATACTCAGATTCATCATCATGTTTACAACATTCCATCCGACTAAAACAGTTGAAACTTTGCCAACAGGCCGCCTTGGCTTTCTCAAAATGCTCCCAGCACTAGTATACCCAGTGTCACCACCACCACCACCTGACAGATACTCGTTATCTGACATTGCCCATGGCTTGTGGATTCCATAGTTAATTGGGTTATAGAAGGGCCTAAGTGGTTGGGTCGTTGACAGAACCACAGTCCTTTCCTTTTCACTCTCCTCTGGTTCTTCAACGGACGTCTCAGTGTCGTAAAACTTCGGATAAACCGAGTTGTGCTCATATGTATATAACCCACCTGCAACTATAGACGGTTCTGCATCTTGTGAAGCGCTAAATAGCAATGTATTTTGGACTACAGCCGTACCACAATTTTCATCCGAGCAAAAATCGCTAGGAAAATCTAGGTCATCGGCGTCCATCATTTTGTTTTGCTGAGTTTTTGAGAGAACATCCAAGTTTTCCTAGCTGAGAAGTTGATGCCAACTTTTAAGTTAAAGTGATAGGCTGCAGACCAAGATACTTCGTAAATAAATGCTTTAAAAAAGGAACTACATCAAAAAGCAGTCTACCAACTCTGAAGAGCAAGGTTTCTTTTATGTACAGGTCCATGCTCTGGTTTTGTACGCAGCATCAGCATCAAAACGAGGCTGACAAAACAACTTCTATTTTTTATGTTTTCGGTCAGTGGAATTTTGTGTCAATGACTTGGCGAGATTAGGTAACTGGTTACTTTATTTGGCATAGGATATACAACACCATATATAGGTACAAGAACACAACATGATATCCTCATTCTAGTCTTAGTGGAAGCATCGCGACTATTCGTCTACGAGTGAATAAGTTATTAGCATTCTCTCTTTTGTATCCATCTGCTTCCTCTAATATATCGTGGTGTGCGAACACTCACCCTCATACTGCTACACCATAATGACGCCGCAGTCTACAACCTTTGCGCATTCTTAATTGTAATCGGTACTTTGTATATAGGCGCTAATAGTAACACAGAGATAGCTCAAATTGTGCGTACTGGACGGCTCCGATCACGCTGATACACGCCGCAATCTCTACAGCGGCCCATAAGCTACCTTGGAGTCAGAATATTCTACCGATATAAGTGGTATCTATACATACATTAGGAAGCAGTCAATTGGACTATCCTGATGCACGAGCATACAATCATATTGCCTCCCAGCAGCCTGGTAACAACAAAGTGCCAATTTTTGATTTTATTCAGGTGATAACTTCATTACTTGCGGAAAGTCGCGTTCATGCTTTCTTCGGCAAGTGTTTATCACATATTTCAACATTAAAAGGGGGGCATTCTTTGTATAAAATTTTCATGCTTCTCTGTCGCTCCCGGATAACTGTTCAAGTCTAGGCTCTTGCTGCGTTAAAAGCTACGAGAGTGGCTGAACACAAGAGCGTGTGCATTGTAGCGAATATTGTATCTATCCGTGTTGTCGGATCGAACTCGCTGTGTGTGCGCTGGAGCCACTGAAATGCCCTAGGAGCTCAACCTGATTGTAATTGCACTGATCCTATAGCACAGTGTCTCATACCATCAAATATACTCTCGTCTTCTATCTTATGACCCCACCTCCTTATTAATATTTTGTCTTGTCTCATCTTAACATATCTCAAATATTGATACCTTTGAAGATTTTCCTGGCTGTGTGTGTGCAGTGCTCGTATACCGTGTGGGTCTAACTTATTAGGTGTAAATATATATGATTTGCGATTCGTGTGATATACGTCCTATTTCACTACTAGATGGTTGCTGCTTTTTCGAGTACAAAGGTGCGTGTTTATCAAAGGGTGCCCTGTTTTAAACATATACACATATTAGAAAACCTAAACTTTAAAAGGAGTTACTTTCTAACAATCAGAAATCTTGAAATTAAAGCTTTGAAAATCATTCCCCTTACTGTTACAATCCTTCTTACAATAAAAATGATTCGTCTTCAGGTTCTCCTCTGTTTACATATACACTGGTTTGACCCCCCTATTTGTATCTCATAATATTATAATTGTGTGCAACTCACTAGGTACTCTTAGAAGCTCTCCTCCTGCTTTTCTACACTAGCCCAATGTTGCCTTTCGCTTCATACATATACTTCAAAAAACTCAGTGTCAAAGATGCATGTCAATTCAAGCTAGCATTGAAGTAACCAACAATGTGGCGTGTGTGCAACCACTTAACGCTTCGAGACACAACCAATCTCGAGTCCTCAAACGTCCCATCCAACTTGTTTCTGTGTGTTATTAATATTGCTTATCTTTCACTTAGGAAGTATAGAGTCTTAAGACAATATAGATATGAAACAACATAATGCTCGATCCAGTTGAACACTCATAACTTGTCCGCCCTAATACTTCGCATTTCTCTGTGTCCGGTATACGATCTCAGTGGCGAAAACTCTTTATGCCTCGTGACATAATGCGAAAAAGCCTAGATAGTATGCCAATACGTTTCTCTACCGCCTGCATGTCCATTGCACTCTACAAGTTTCGAGGTGGCCTCGCTTTTTTATGCATTGATAAGTTGTATGATAACTCTGATGTAGTAGACTTCTTGATGTGTGCGCCAAGTCGACGTCGTTATAGTCATGGCCTACTCTCGCCAGCGTACATATCAGCTTTATTTGATAGAGGTAGTCTCGCGCACATTCTGTAATTCGTTCGCCAATAGTCTGCCACCGACGTGAATTCGATCAGCTCCTCGAGCATCCATATCCTTGTTTCCTCTTAATATACACTTAGATAGACTCATGGACACATTTGGAAAATGGGTTCAAAAACAACCACACCCAAGGCCCATGAACCGGTCCTAATATGCTGAATTGCCCATTCCACCGAAAGACGATAACAGTACGCCGCATTCCCGCGTGCTGCTAATTGGTAATGGTAAATACCCAACATTCTGCGTGTTCTGTTTGTTTTGGAGTAATTTAC